AGGAAAAGGACATGGGAGAAAGAAAAGGTGCAGAGGAAGCAACTATGAGTTGCTTTTCCCATCTCTCAATTAAAACTTTGAAAACATCTGATTTTGTTCAGTTTCCACTGAACTGTTTCCTCAAAGATCTATAGAGTAAGCATGAGTAGACAACATCTGACATCCACCCTCAGAAAAATAACAATTTTTTTACCCCTAAAAAAAGGAAGAGGGAGGTGAAAGAGAGGCTGTGAATACAGGAAATCTGACGCATGTTCACAAAATAGATTTTTTTTTTAGAGGAACAAAAAGGGGAAAAAATCCTGCAACCAAGGACAAATGTAATTTCCCAATTAAATGCTGTTATTCCATTTGGCAAATTAAAGTTTTTTTCTCTCTCTCTCCAAATACAAAGTTGCCAGTCCAGACAATAGCTGGTTATTTCACATGTCACAAAGTTGCAAATGTAAATTTACTGAAGGAAGGAAAGTTCACAACAAATTAAAAAAAAAAGGATGCCAGCCCCTTTGAGGGAATTAAACTAAGCAACACATACATCTTGGTGAGACTTTTTCTCCAGCTTGCAAATTTTGCCTTCACTTCACTTGCACATTCAGGGACTGTTGTGTTTAGTGCTTGCACAGACTTTCTTTGTCGAGTGTGAGCTAAACCCAGGACTCCAGAGATTTGCCATTTTTGGAAGGGAATTGCTTTTCCTTTCCCACCGGCCATGTTGGCTGGGAAACTCTGGAAAGTTGCAGTCTAGAAAAGTAACTTTTCCTCCAAACTTTGGTGGTTTCCTTTGGGGAGCCCAAGAGTTTATGTACTTTCAGTGCTTTCTCCTCCAGGGCTCTTAAATTCTTCCACACCAAAAAAAAGAACTGAAGTAGTTGATCCGGTCTGATGAGTTTCACTTAACCAACCAAAGCACATTTTAAAAAAAGAAGGAAGGAAAACACACAGACACACATACACAAAGGAAGGAGAGAGAGAGAAAAAAACACACACACTCTGTTGTCTTGCTTCCTTTAAGTTGAATGGTTGGTTACCAAAGCCCAGGCCAGATCAGAACAAAAGCTCAAGGCATCTGTTTCCAGGCAGATGAAAAATGTGAGACCATAATGAGACAAGAACTTTTAAAAGAAATCTCTGCCTTGCGAGTTCGAATCCTGGTCTTCCTCCTTGGTATGGTATCAGCACCTCAGGTAGTCTATTCCTGCATCTGGAGGCTCAGTTTACTTGCATGTAAACTTCATCAAAACTTTATTTTTTAAAAAAAAACTCTCCAAAGAGAATGGATTGCTTTTAGTATCTGAACCAGGCAGATCTAAACCAAAGCTGAGGAGAAAGTTCTTCTCTCTTTTTGGACTATAGTTCCCAGAAACCAGGAATGCTGGGAAGTATAGTCCCCAAAAAGAAACTTTCTCCAGCTGTGACCCAGCATCCCTTTTCAAAGCCCAATGATGGCAAATAGAGCAGCAGGTCCAGCCATTAAGTATCTTTCTATACTGTAGAAATAATGCAGTTTGACACAACTTTCATTACCATGGGATCTGTAGTTTAGCAAGGCACCAGGACTCTTTGGCAGGGGAGACTAAAGACCTTGCAAAATTCCAAATCGCATGATGCCATAGGATGAAGTAACAGCATTTAAAGTGGTGTCAAACTGCATTATTTCTACAGTGTATAGATGCGCCCTAGAACATGAACCAATGGACTATGAACCAGTTTCAAGAAAAAAGAGTCTACCTAAACATTAGGAAGAACTTTTTTACTGAAAGTGATGTTGGACAGTGGAATAGATTGCATTGGAAAGAAACCTTGCAAAACTACAATTCCCAAAATTTTACAGGGTTACAGCACTGAAATTAGTGCCAAACTGCCTTATTTCCACTTTGCATAGATGCACCCTAAAACATGAACCAATGAAATGTGCAAAAGTTACAAGAAAATGTGAAAGAGTTACAAGAAAAGACAATCTACCTAAACATTAGGAAGAACTTTTTCTGCGGTAAAAGAGCTGTTGGACAGTGGAATAGATTGCTTTGGAGGGAAGGTGAAAGACCTTGCAAAACTACAATTCCCGAGGCTTGCAGCAGAGCTAGAGTAGAGCTATAATAGAGCTTTAGCATTGAAATTGGTGTCAAACTGCATTATTTCTACAGTGTGTAGATGCACCCTAGAACATGAAAGAACAAACTATGGAAGAGTTGCAAGAAAAGAGAGTCTACCTAAACTTTAGGAATAACTTTTTTTTTTTTTTTACTGTAAGAGGTGCTGGGCATTTTGTCTCAGAGGGAAGGCGAAAGATCTTGCAAAACTACAATTCCCAAGGCTTGTAGTAGAGCTAGAGTAGAGCTATCATTGAAAGTGGTGTCAAACAGTATTATTTCCCCAGTGTGTCGATGCACCCTAAAACATGAACCAACAAACCACAAACCAGTTGCAAGAAAAGAGAGTCAGTGGGAATATATTGCCTCAGAAGGAAGGCGAAAGTCCTTGCAAAACTACCAATCCCAAACTTTGTACAGAGCAACAGTACTGAACTTGGTGCCAAACTGCCACATTTCCACAAAGGCACCCTTGAACCAACGAACTAACTAGGAAAGAGTTACCAGAAAAGGCAGCCCAGCTAAACAGGGCCTTGCCAAACTACACATCCCAAGACTTGTACAGTTTCTGACTTTGTCATTTCTACAGTGGTTCCCAAACTTTGGCCTCACTGGTTCTCCAGCTCCCAGAAGTCAAGAGCCAAAGGGGGCCAAGAGTCAGGTCAGGAGACATTCTGGGAACCAAAGTAAAAGAAAAACAGAAAAGAAAAACTGGAAAGTACTAAAACAAATGATGGTACTTGCCCATAAGGAAACCATACTTGCCCATAGAGAATCATAGGGAAATACTTGTCCATAGAGAATTACAGGGAAATACTAGTATTCCCCAATGATTCCCTATGGGCAAGCATTCCCCAATGATTCTCTATGGACAAATATTCCCCAATGATTCCCTATGGACAAGTATTCCCCAAAGATTCTCTATGGGCAACTATCCCCCATTGATTCCCTATGGGCAACTATTCCCCAATGATTCCCT